CGGGTGCCGGTGCTGGTGCTGGGTGCCAGGTGCCGGTGCTGGTGCTGGGTGCCGGTGCTGGTGCTGGTGGTGTAGCTTGCATATATGTGGCGATCTTTTTTGCCCAGATAGCGAAGCTATGGGGCTCTTACTTCAAAGAACAATGAGCTGCCTGCGCGCGCTTTCGAGACAGGTTGCCGGTGCTGGTGGGCGGTGGAAACAGGGTGCCGGTGCTGGGTGCCGGTGCCGGGCGCTGGTGCGGGCTGTGGTGCTGAATGAGCTGGCTGCGCGCGCTTTCAAAAGGGTGTCGGTGCTGGTGCTGGTGTTGTGGTCCTGGGTGCTGGTGCTGTGAGCTGGCTGAGCGCGCGTTTAAGACGGGCGGCGGCGCTGGCCGGGTGCTGGTGTCAGCTGATTGTGCGAGGTGTCGTAAGCTGGCTGCGCAGGCTGCGTGCATTCTTGTTCCAGCCAGTCGCATGTCAACAGGTCGTGGGATTCTGCCTGGCCTAGCTATCTGGGTCTATGCTGGTGTAATTAACATTTGGCTACGTGTTGGGGGTTGCATGAGAGGTCAATATCCTCACAGGTGGATGTGTTGCATTGTTCTTTGTTCGGATGTGTGCTGCGAGTTGCGACCTCAAGCTCAATGATGATCTGATATGCGGAACCTTTTGATTTCGTGGTCTATTCAGGCCACAATTTGTCGCCGGAACACCCAGTCCTGGGTCGTTTTCCCCATGAATTCGCTCTCATTTTTTTGCCGAAACGCTTCACAAAGTGCGCCTCAGGCGCCGAACAAGTTGAGAAGCAATCGCTTCATATTAGTTCAAATTAAAATTAGCCCGGCGGGAGACCCCAAACAGTGTAGAGTGCATATAAAACGCACTTCCGGCTGAAAGGGAGGAGCGCAGGCAAGTCGGAAGTAGAGAGAGTAGTATGTGCAGGTGAAGCGCCCGCGAGCACCAGGGAGTAGGAAGTAGTGCTTATGCCCGAAACCCAAAAGCGCAGAACGCAGCAAGCGCACATCGGACCTTTTTCCTTGCACGGCGAGCGGGGCGAGACTGTGTCGCGGAACCGCAGACAGAGCGAGACAGTGTCGCGAAACCGCAGACAGAGTACCTGCCACGAAATCTGAACTTTGAGGTTCACCAAGTGCTGCGCCTGCCACGAAATCTGCACTTCGAGGTTCACAAAGCACTGCGCCTGCGAAATCTGCATTTCGAGGTTCACAAAGTGCTGCGGCTGCCACGAAATCTGCACTAAGTGCTGCACTTGGGACGAAATCTGCGCTTTGAGGTTCACCAAGTGCTGCGCCTGCCACGAAATCTGCACTTCGAGGTTCACAAAGCACTGCGCCTGCCACAAAATCTGCACTTCGAAGTTCACAAAGTGCTGCGGCTGCCACGAAATCTGCGCCACGAAATCTAGACTTCGAGGTACAGAAAGTGCTGCGCCTGCCACGAAATCTGTGCATCGAGGTGCTGTGCCTGCCACGAATTCTGCACTTCGAGGTTCGCAAAGTGGCGCTTCTGCCACGAAATCTGCGCTGGGGCGAGGGATCAAATATCAACTTCTTCGGTGTCAAATATCACCCCTTTTGTGACACTCTGTGATCAATTGGCCTTGTTTTCACAGTGACATGTTTTTCTACATAGACGTCTCGGACAGATCAATGTTTCGGACAGTGAGGTCTCGGACATTGATGTCTCGGACAGTGAGGTCTCGGACATCAATGTCTCGGACAGTGAGGTCTCGGACAGTAAGGTCTCGGACGGCAAAATTTAGAGGAGGGATGTGCCGTTCCAGTGGCGCATGCCTTTCGTGAACCACCCAAGGGTATAAGAATGGTGCCATTCCAACGGTGCACGCCTTTCGTGAGCCACCCGAGGGTAGAATTTAGAAGTTGAAGGTGCAATTCCGACGGTGCGTGCCTTTTGTGAGCAACCCGAAGGGGGAAGTTTAGCGGAGAGAGAGGCGCCGTTCCAATGGTGCATGCCTCTTGTGAGCCACCCGAGGGCAAAAGTTAGAGGAGAAAGATGCTGTTCCAACGGTGCATACCTCTATGCCTGTTGGACATGAGGTCTCGGACGTTAATGTCTCGGACAGTGAGGTCTCAGACATTCATGTGTGGACATATATCACCGTCCCGGACAGTGAGGTCTCGGACATCAGTGTCTTGGACAGTGAGGTCTCGGAAGATCTGGGGCGTTGAGGTCAATGTCTCGGACATAAATCTCTCAGGCAGTGAGGTCTCGGACGTTAATGTCTCTGCCATTGAGGTCTCGGACATCAATGTCTCGGACAGTGAGGTCTCGGACGTTAATGTCTCGGACATGAATATCCCGGATGGTGAGGTCTCGGAGATTCATGTCGTGGGCAGTGAGGTCTTGGACGTTCTTGAGGTCTCGGACGCGAATGTCTCGGACAGTGAGGTCTCGGACAGTGAGGTCTCGGAGACACGCTTGCCTGTGGGGCATGCCTTTTTTCTGGGCCACCCGAGGGTAAAATTTAGAGGAGGATGGTGCCATTCCAACGGTGCATACCTTTTGGGAGCCGCCCGACGGTAAAATCTGGAGGAGCAAGGTGCCATTCCAATGGCGCATACCTTTTGCGAGCCACATGAGGGCAACAATTAGAGGAGAGAGGTTCCACTAAAACTGGACATTGATGGAGAGTCTTGGACGTTCATGTCTTGCACCGTGAGGTCTCGGACATGGACAAATGGGTCGGAATGTGGTCTCGGTCTCGAACGCTCTCAGGCAAGAATGTCTCGCGCAGTGAGGTCTTGGACATCGTCTCGGACAGTGAGGTCTCGGACGTTATACTCCTCGAACCGGGATGTCTCGGACATTCATGTCTCGGACAGTGAGGTCTCGGACATTCACGTCTTGGACATTTTGATTGTCTCGGTCAGTCAAGTATCGGACATTATAATGTCGAGTGTGGTCTCGGACGTGTCAGACACGACCTCTCGGACACTGAAAAAGGGGGGATATTTGACGCCAAGTGGGGGGGATCTCCCCCCATTGCCGTGCCTGCCACGAAATCTGCGCTTCGAGGTTCACAAAGTGCTGTACCTGCCGCGAAATAGATCTGCAAACGAGCCACATGCCCAACCGTCACGATTCACTTCACCTGTCACGAAATCAGAGCGCCTTGAAGATCACGACCATGTCATGTCCAAAGTACTGCACCTGCCACGAAGTTTGCATTTCGAAGTGCAACTGCTCCGATCCCTTGCGCCTGTCACGAAAAGTCGACTTTGGACCACCAAAGAATAAGGTTTCCCTTGCACCTGCCACGAAAAGTGACCACCATGTGCGAAAATACGCGCGGCGCCACAACGAGAGCGCAGTCGCGACAAGCACACGCTCCAGCCACCCAGATTTCGGGAGCTTGCGCAGTCGAAATGCACGTCGAGGACTTCGAGAGGCATGAATGTACTTTAAATAGCAGCGAATTGGCCGTCCACGCCCGCGCGCCCCAGCGATCTAAGCACAGCTGCTTAAGCCCTACCGTAAGAACCCTATAAGTTTGTCCACAGAAAAAAAGGGAATGGGAGCACGCACATACACAGAAACATGATTCTTTGGGCTGGTTCGAGGAGGAGGGATAGAAACTCTTTAGCTCATGCAATCGGAACTTGTTGTGCTTCTTTTGCAAGTCATGAGTCCTGATCACGACCTCTGACGTTTCAAGGAGACACAGGGAGGATATCTTGGAGCTGTTGGAGCCCTTGGACCTCGGAGCAGCCTGGAGTGAGACTCACGATGCATGTGGTAGACTATGTCTAAATCCTTGTATCATTATGGTGCCACTGTGATGTTGGCTAGCGGCTAACGCTCACAGATTAGATTGTCGCCATGCTGAGCAGCCATACAAACTAATTAGGAAGTTCTGTTGCTAGGAAACTGCAAGGATTGCTTTGCTCACGTCAGTTGGGTGAAGGGGCATCATGGAGGTGCAATGAACTTTCTTCTTGTTTGCCAAAGTCTCATGTTGCGAATATTGAGGCAAGTACGATTTGCAAGACCCGCAGCAGCTGATCCGGCTTTTCCTCGACGCAAAGATTGGCTTGATGCGGTTGGAATACTTGCAGGAGATGCTTGCCGCAGATCGAAGGTTCCCTCGCAGGCAGGAAGCAGACTTCGAAGTCACGGCTGCAGGCCTTCCTGCCATCGTTCAACCATCAGAGTTGCAGAGGGTGGAGATTGATGCCGTGGGCAATATGAGTATGTGCATAATGGACCCAACACCCCGGAGGGTGACGGTGCTTATCGTGTCCATCTCTCACGTTTGGGAGAGCATGGAGCATCCAGACCCACATGGGTTTCAGCTCCACCAGATTGTCCAAAAATGCCCCCCCGTCACCTCCACTCGTTCAGTTTGGATCTTCTACGATTTTAGCTCGCTTTATCAGTACGGTGGCCGAACTGACCAGCAAGAGAGAGATTTCAGAGAAGCTCTGGAGCACATGCATACCCTCTACGCTCATGAGGCGGTCAAGGTCCAGATAGTGGAAGAGCTCACTCCTGAGACGTGGAAGCGTCCAGGAATTGTCAATGCTTTCTCTGAAAAGGCAGGGCGTGTGATTCCTATCCCCATTGACCAACTCACGGCCAATATGACACCTTGCCGGCTCCGAGGATGGTGTCAAGCCGAACGGCAATGGTCAAGCCTGCGGATTTCACTAGCAAGTTGCGTTCCAATGCCGCCGGACCTATTCCGCCGCAAGATGGAAGAACAAGGTCTGCGTTTTACTCACCATGATGACAAAGAACTTGTTATGAAGCTCCAAGCTCAGGTCTTTGCAGAGAAGGTCTTGACCACCCGCCAGTTGATGGCTGAACTCTTGGACAAAGATGCTCTCGACGGTCTTTGTGAAGCTTTGCCGTTCTACGCAGATCTAGATGAGATCGTAGTTACTGGCAACCTCTTGCCAAGGAAGGCAGCTGTGGCAGTGGCCAAGACCAATGCGCGATCCTACCAAATGGAATCCTGCGGACTCCAAGATGAAGATGTGGAAGATGTAGTTGCAACACTGCTACATTGCGACAAGGTCGAAGAGTTGAGGCTAGGACGCAACAACATTGGGCACAGAGGGCTCCAAGCCTTAGGGGACTTGAGGAAGGCAAAGCCCAACCTCTACATCGATGTCCTAGACGAGAGGAATCTCAGGAATGCTGATTTTGCACCTGACATGAAAGACGATGCCCAGGCGCCGCTCCGTTTGGTTGTGTGTCGCACTTCGAAGTTGACTCCCTGGCTTTCTGATGTGCAGCAAGCCAATACATACTTCTAGACCTTGAGAAATCATAGGCTGCTTTAAGGATTGCTTTCCTTGCCGGCTGATATTCTGCCAGATCAACGTTGAGACGCCGAAGATGATATCCGCCTTTGCCTGAGCAAATCGACATCATGCGTCATTGTAACCCTTCGTTTATCTCAGACCTTTGAATGCTCAAAGTCATCAATTTGTCTCGGAGGTGGCGTGAGCCTAAGAGTGCTTTAACGTAGAAAACGCCTTTGTCAAGTCCCAGGAATCACCACGTAAGTCCGGCCTCAAAGGACTCTGAGAAGCTCCCAATTCCGTTTCATCCCCACTCCAAGGTTGCCAGCCCAGCTCGTGCTGTGCGCGTGTGAATGCTTAGATGAGGCCCGGTTCCTAGCACTTATGGGTCTAGAAAAGATCCTGGCTTTTTGAGTCCTTGTCACTGAGGAAAAGGATTCAACAGCCGTAGTAAGTGCTTCCCGTTAGAGGTAGAGGGCGGGTGAGAGAAGTTTCAGAGGCTTGAATGCTCAAGATGAATGATGCTTCATGTGATGTTTACCTTTAAGTAGCACTTTTTCTACACCTTTCTCAAGTCCCAGGGGCTGTCACTCCAAGTCCGGCCACAGTCATGATGGTGTTTCATCTCCAATCCAAGGCTACCAGCGAGATGGCTCCCGCTGGTGCTGTTTTGGTCACCTTTGGAATTCGTGCACGTGTGCACGTGCCGGCAAG